GTGATTGCTTTTTTGTTTGTTTTTAATTTGGTTTTTATTTATTTATTTATTTACTTACTTATTTACTTATTTAGTTGCTGTTCATTGTTGAAAGTATTACACATGTCCCCTTTTCCCCCCAGTGACCTCTTCTCCGCCACCGTTCCTGCCCACCCTAGGCCTTCACCACCCTAGTGTGTGTGTCCACATATGCATATATGCATATAAGATCTTTGATTAATCTCTTCCTGCCCCCTCTCCCCGCTTTCCTCTGATACTCATCAGTCTGATCTATGTTTGCCTGCCTCTGGTTCTATTTTATTCATTTATTTTGTTCATTAGATACCTTATTTGTTTATTTTGATTTTTAGATTCAATTGTTGATAGATATGTATTTAGTGCTATTTTATTGTTCATATATTTTATATATATTTTTTCTTCCTAAAGAATACCCTTCAACATTTCATGTAATACTGGTTTGGTGGTAATGAGTTCCTTTAACTTTTTTTTGTCTGTGAAGCTCTTTATCTGACCTTCAATTCTAAATGATAGCTTTGCTGGGTAGAGTAATCTTGGTTGTATGTCCTTGCTATTCATCCCTTTGAATATATCTTGCCACTCCCTTCTGGCCTGCAAAGTTTCTGTTGAGAAATCAGTTGATAGTTGTATGGATGCTTCCTTGTAGGTAACTAACTGCTTTTCTTTTGCTGCCTTTAATATTCTCTCTTTGTCTTTAACCCTTGGCTTTTTACTTATGATGTGTCTTGGTGTGGGACTCCTTGGATTTCTCTTGTTTGGGACTTTCTGTGCTTCCTGTACTTATAAGTTTATTTCCCTCACCAGGTAGGGGAAGTTTTCTGTCATTATTCTTCAAGGTTTTCAATATCTTGCTCTCTCTCTTTTTCTGGCACCTCTATAATTCGGATGTTGGTATACTTGAAGTTGTCCCAGAGGCTCCTTACATTATGTTCATAATTTTGGATTATTTTTTCTTTTTGTTCTTCTAATTGGGTGTTTTTTGCTTCCTCATATTACAAATTGTTGATTTCATTCTCAGAATCCTCTAGTCTATTTTTGAGTCCCTGTAAATTATTCTTAATTTCTGACTGGTCCTTTTTCATGTCTTTGACATTCTCATTAAAATCCTTGAAAGTCTCACCAAGTCCCTTGAAGCTCTCATTAATTCCCTTGAAGGTCCCATTAATTCTATTGAAGCACTCATTAAGGTCATTGAGCAACCTTTTAACCATTGTTTTGAACTCTGTATCCAGTATTTTGCTTGCTTACATTTCATTTATTTTCTCTTTCTGGAGATTTCTTCTGTTCTTTTATTTGTGACATGTTTCTTTGTCTCCACATTTTGGCTGCTTTCCTGTGTTTGTTTCTGTGTATTAGGTAGAGCTGTTATGTCTTCTGGAATTGGTAGAGTGGCCTTGTGTGGTAGGTGTCCTGTAGGGCCTAGTGGCTCAGCCTCCTCAGTCACCGGAGCTGGAAACTATAGGTGCACCCCGGTGTTGGTTGTGTGCAGTCTTATTGCAATTGAGCAGTGATTGCTTTTGGCATCACTAGAAGCATTTGACCTCCTGGCCAATTGGCTGTGAGGACCCACTGTGACTACAGTGGAAGAGCTGCTGTATAGAGGACACCCATATGGAGCAGGAATTGCTTTAGTGGGGCTTTGTGGTCACTGAGTCCGCCCCTTGAGTGTGTCACTTGTGAATGTGTAGAGTTACAATCTGGTCTGCTCTGCATTGGCTCTGGGGCCTCCTGGGAGGTGCAAAGTCAGCCACTGCCTGGGTCTACCCTGCACAAGCTACAGAGTGATCTGCAGATGGCTGCTACTTGTGTTGGGCTTAGAAATACCCAGGTGAATTCAAGCTGTGAAGCAAGGCAGGCTGTTGCAAGTGCCAGGTCTTGGGCCTCTTATTGATAGGTATGGGGCATGCTGATGCCAGCTGCTACTTGTTTGAGAGATTTTAGGAAAGTCTGAAGCCTGAGCCAGGACAGGCCATTCATATGGGAAAGCTGCTGCAAACAGGTTGGGTGGGGCTGCAAGTTGGATGGGGCAGGATCTCAGGGAATTACCAGGGTGGAGTGAACAGTGTGAGCCATGTTGATAGAAATGTAGATGTGACAGGGCTAATGACCCCTGTGAGCACCTCCATCTGGGAGAAAGCTGCCTCCAGGTTCCTGCCCCATATGTCCCTGGTTCCCCCAGTACCGCTGACCAGTGCTAGAGCTCAGAGGGAGCAGGACTGTGTAAGTTCATACGCCAGCCCTTTAATAGGGACTGTCTGGGTATTCAGCAGCCTCTGTGTCACCCAACTACCATCCCACTGGCTTTTACAGCTCCAAGTTATGGAGGCTTCTCTTCCCAGCTCTGAAACCCTTGGCTGGAGGTCTGGTGTGGGGCTGGTACTCCCTTTCACAGGAGGTCTCTGCAGTGGAGAGAGACCTCCCAACTAAAGCAAGCCACACATGAGTGTCAGACTAGTTCATTCTGTGCCTCCACCCCTCCTACTGGTCTGGATGTACTTTCTTCTTTACTTCTCTAGTTGTAGGACTTCCATCAGCCAGCTTTCAGGTGGTTCTGAATGATGGTTGTTCTGTATTTTAGTTGTAATTTTGATGTGGTTGTGAGTACCGGAATTTATACTGCCATCTTTTTTCCATCTGAGAATTTTATTAAAGCAGATTCCTAGCCCTGCCCTTACAGACTCTGATTCTGTCTGACAGGGAGAGCTTGAGAATTTGCTTTCCAACAAGCTCCCAGGAGATGCTAGTGCTGCTTATTTGGAAGCCACACTTTCAGCAGCATCTGTCTAGTTTCCTTGAGGTACTGAATTGACATTGGTTGTGTTGGTCACAATGAGGGGTCAGTCTGGTTTTCCTTTGCCTACACTGGAGTCATGAACTTTACAATGAAACATCTTGAACATCTCACTATGTATGTGTGGATGGATTTGCATGCAATGAACTGTTTAGGCCAGTCTGTGACACTATTGGAAGACTACAGAAGAGGGAGAATTAAATTCTTCCTGCAAGTTAATGGGATTTCAACATGTTTGGCCCATTTTTGAGATTCATATGAATAAATGCAAGGAGGCTGGGATACATGTGAAACAATAGTAGTTAATCCAGTATTGCTACATTGGAGAGGTCTAGAGCTTCATGAATGAATGAAGGGGAGCAGAAAGTAGGGGGGAAATAATGGGAAATAGGCCTGGAAACAAGTTCAGGGACAAGATTGTGAAGAGTCTTAAATTTTAAGAAGTTTGCATTATATTAAGTAACAGAAATTAAACTGAATAAATTTTAAAGATCTAATTGGCTTTATTGAGCAGGTCATGAATTGGGCAGCATCTTATTATCAAGCAGAAAGGAGCTCTGAGGAGGTGTTTAAAATGGAAGGATTTTATAGGCAGAAGGGAAAAATAATGGGTTGTATCAGACTTAGTTAATCTATGGAGGACAGAAGGGGGCTATGTAGTACATTCACTCTTGTGTCAACCAGAATATTCCATACTGGCCAGTTAATATTTCATACCTGTGGGTATAACTGCAATTAGATTAGGTTTTAAGTCTTGGTTTTCTGATGTGGGGCTTAGCACAAGTGACTCCATTTTGACCCTGTTCTTGTTAACGTTTAGAACTTTATGCTATAATGACATCTGTTTTTAAGTTTTCATGTCTCATACTTATTATTCTCTCTGTGTGTTTCATTGTTCTTTCAGGATTAAGCATGAAAATATTGTTGCCCTGGAAGACATTTATGAAAGCCCAAATCACTTGTACTTGGTCATGCAACTGTAAGTACCTTTTGAAATTGACGAGTGTGGACCAGGGGTTGCAAATTCAAATGCTTAAGGGACCAGCTGGTAAAATTACCTGATGTAGTGGGCCAGGTAAGACAGTAGGGAGTGATTAGGGCTGTGGGACACTGGAGATGTCTGTACCCAACTGGAGACAGTTGGCCGAGCACAGGAGGCTGCAGCCTCACTTGATCTCAGCTGTGACTGCTGGACTGGACTGATAATTGGAAGTTTCCACAATGTGACTTGATGCTATCATTGCAGAGTGCGCCTACAATGGCTGCTTTGCTTTTTAATGTGCAAGGTCCAAATGTTGCTTCCTGAAAACACTTCTGTGGGCCCACTGTGACATACACTCTGCTCTTGTCTCTAGGAGGAACTCCCACCCTTGTCCTTATTGCTAGGGCAGCCGGGAGAGGGAGCCGCAGATGGCAGCTGTGTGCTATGTCCCTTCCCTCTGCTCCTCTGCTGCTGAATAAGCACACATGTGACTAAACGGGAGTTCATGCCAGAATAAGAAAGTATAACTGGAGTTGGACCTTACCACCATTCCCCCAGTGTAGTCTTTCTGCATTCTAGTAACACCAGAGATTTCCAGACGAGGGAGGAAAGGAGAAAGCTAAATATCAGGTAGCAACTGTACTCAAACATGTGTGTTTTTTAAATATAAGGTGCAATTAACCTCCCCCTCACACAAGTGATATAATTCCTAGGATTAGTCCAGGACCAGGTTTATTAGAATTAAGTGATGGAAACTGTGTAAGAGTGTTATACTTTAACCATGACCCGAGAAAGTAAATTCTGAAACACCATACTAGTATTATTGAGCTGAGTGACTGAAATGGACTTTTGTTGAAGCTCAGAATATGTACTTATTATATTTATGATTTTCAGACTTTCAATTACCAAAGCTATTTAGGAGACTTGAGGGTTAGTCTACCTAACAATTTATTTTTATCTATTCTCATTTTTTTCCTTATGAATGTTTAAACAACACCTTAACTAGAGATGGTGGTGGTGACCAGTAGTTTTACAGATTTGTGAATGATTGTCAGCCATGAGCCTAGCAGTGTTACGGTTTTGACTGCGGGTTTCATGCCAACTCCCAGCTGCCTAAATGCAGTCTTTCTTAGTCCTTTGCTGTCCTGTTGGTTTTACCGTTTGCCACATTTCTGGTTCTTCCTAGAAGCTGGTAGCTCCCCAATCTGGGGACATTCCCTAGAAGCTCATGTGACTTTATTTTGCAGAATCTGCTCTTAAAGAAGCAGATGAATCAATTTCCCACCAAATATTGACTTCCCAGTAGGAAGAATATGACATTCTAGTGACAAGAAAAAGCCACACAAAATGTCAGTAGTGTATTTAAATATGTGCTTTTTTATTAGATTTAATACTTCAGGTCTCTGTTGGAACTTTCACTTAAACCAGTTAAAAAGTACTCCAAATATATAAATCTCAGTCCCGCCTCTTACTAGCTAGGTGAATTTGGGCAAATAACTGTACTTCTCTGAATATCAGTTTCCTTAAATGGAAATAATGGGGATAACAGTCATATTTACATTAGTGGCTGTGGTGAGTATTGAATGAGAGAAACCCCTATCATTTCATCAGTATGTCTCTGCAGATAAAGTTGTAAGTTGAACTGTTGTAGGTTGTGGACCATCTGTATCCTTACCAGCAGAAGTTTATGTAAAGATCGGCTGGCTTGATAGCATATGAGAGTTTGGAACAGAATGAACCTTAGAACAAAGTTTGAATGTCGAACTGTCAGCACAGCTGTCCATCCCTCACCGAGCTTTACTATCAGGCTTTCCACTTTTTTACAATTATCCTTAATATAGACCACACTCATTCAGAGTTTGTACTCATGCAGAGAGGAGTGGGACTGGAATGAACTCTCGGGGGCACTGGGTGAGGTTTGTCAGGCAAATTAATCACAAAATCTGTATCTAGGGGCAGTGTTTGAAGTACCTAAGGAAAAAAACTATGTGCACTGTTAAACATTTTAAACGCACTATTCACATAAACACTGGATATACTAATTATATACTTACCTGGTATGAATTCTTTGTCATTGGTTCTCATTACTTTATTAAAAAATCAGCTTTATTGAGTTATAATGTGCATACAATTAACTGCACCCATTTAACTGAACCATTCAGTGATGAATGTGAGAGAATCATGGCCAGGAAGCCACCACTATGATCAAGAATAGGAAATTTCCCAGAGATTCCGTGTAGTCATTTCAAGTTGCCCCTCCCTCGCCTCTGATCCCAGCCAACCAGTGGTCCACTTCCACTCAGTAGAGAGTCTTTTGCATTTTCTAAAATAGTGTATACGTGAGATTATATAGCAGGTACATGTTTGTGTCTGGTTTATGTTACTCATCATAGTTATTGGCATTCATCCATGTAGTAATGTGGATCAGTCGTTTCTTCCTTCTTATTACTGAGCAGGATTCCCTTGTTCTGGAAAGTTCTCATTTTATTCACTTACCTGTTGGTAGACATTTGGTTGTTTCCAGTTTGGGCGCTATTATGAATAAAGTTGCTATGAACATTCATGTCCAAGCCTTGCTGTGAGTGTATGTTTGGGTGAAGACCTAGTAGTAGAATGAGTGGGCTACAGAGGAGGTGTTATTTTGAACTTTCTAATAAACTGCCAGACAGTTGTCCAGAGTGGTTTTACCATTTTACATTTTCACCTGCAGTGTGAGTTCCAATTCTTTACATTCTTTCCAACACTTGACGTTTCCAGTTTTTTTTTTTTTCAATGGTAGCCATTTTAATGGGAGTGCAATGCTATCTCATACTGGTTTGAATTTGCATTTCCCTGATGATTCGTGATGTCAATTTTCTTTTTATGTCCTCATGGGCCACTACTATATCTTCCATTCAAATCCCTTACTCAGTTTTTATTGGATTGTTCACCATCATATTATGTGTTGGAAGTGTTCTTTATATATTCTGTTCTTTGTGGATATATGTAATATGAATATTTGCTTTCATTCTATAGCTTGCTTGAGGAGGCGGGAGAGGCTTCCATCACTGCCACTGCGCTTGCCTGCAGTGAGCTCAGCTTCTGGCTGAGTGGCACTCCCCCTGTGGGAGTGCACTGACCACCAGGGGGCAGCTCCTGCATTGAACATCTGCCTCCTGGTGGTCAGTCTGTGTCATCCACTACCAGTCGTTCCACCATTCAGTCAATTTGCATATTAGCCTTTTATTATATAGGACTAGCAGCCCTGCACACAAATTCGTGCGCCAGTAGGTCGCTGCTGCCCTCCTGTAGCTCTCCGCAGCCCACTTGTACCTTGCTGGCCCATCCTCCTGCTGATCTGCGATCTGGTCGTGAAGTGCTTGGTCGTTATGCCTCAGGGCGTAATAGCTAATTAGCATATACCTCTTATTATATAGGATACTTTTTAAAAAATATATTTTTATTGATTTCAGAGAGGAAGGGAGAGGGAGAGAAGAGATAGAAACAACAATGATGAGAGAGAGTCATTGATTGGCTGCCTCCTGCACACCCCACACTGCGGATCAAGCCCACAACTCAGGAATATGCAAGTTCTTTGGGAGAAAAGACTAGCTATTTTAGGCAACAAACCCTTGGAAAAGGTCCTCAAAGGAAGTAGCTGAATTTTTAAAAGACTTTCCTGAGTATAATAGGAGATTATTGATTCATGTGTCTAAATGCTAAAAATCATGCAAATGGGATTTTTTCTAAAATAATTTTAAATGACTGCTTATTTTAAAAATCACAGTATATATTTAATAAGTTTCTGTAGCCACAGTGTGTAAAAACAATGTGATCTGTCAGCTTGTGTAAATATATATTATATATATATATATATATCCTTGTTGGTGATCCTTAGAATGAAAAGGAAAAACTAAGTATATATTGAGAAGTTGGGAGTTGGGCGAAACTTTTTCCAATCATTGTCCTTTTTAATTCTTTATTATCTCTTTTTGATGTCAAGCTCTCCAATCTCTGAAAATATAGTTAACCCTGAATAAGTTACCCTTTCCTACATAAATGGAGCAAACATTTATCTAGGGTGGTTAATTTATAATATCCAGATAGAAATGGGAGTGAAGCCACTGCCTCCTGAGATTCCAGCCAGATCTGTAACTGAATGATGGCTTTCAAGGGCTCCTAAAGAGTTAAGCCTTGTTATCCACATTTTATATTAAAACACTCCACTGTCCTAGGACTAACTCCACTGTCCTAGGACTCTGCCCTTTAGTGTAGGGATGTGTTAGAACTATGTAAAAACCCCAGGCACTCCTGAGTTTTAGCATCTTTTACAAAGACTCAGTGCTGAGGGGTTGTCCCTCTCACATTTGGAGGAGCCACCTGAAATCAGCAGTAACTACAGTATTAACTTTGCTCAAATGTCTGCCTTCCCAAGATATGCCACTTGCTTAACTGATAGTGAGCTGACCCAGGCCCCTCAGAAAAGCCTGGGTTGTTGATCGTCTGTTCCCAGGAATAATTCTCCAACCACTGAGTTATGCACATTTCTTTTGAGAGAGGTAATTGCAGGTCCCAGCAGGGACTCACTGTCTCCACCTTCTCCCTGTTCTCAACCATCCTGGGCTTGATAGAAAGAGAGGGAATGACATTTTTGAATGTCGGAAACAAAGTCATGAAATAGTTAGGACTGGAGAGTGTGCAGAGATGGATGGACTCTCACCCGGAAGACTGAGGCGTGGCTAAGAACAGGAATTTTAGACCCTTGAGGAGAACTTTGTAGGAGATGGTGTATGAGGGCTGGTGGGACTCTGCCTTGCCTGCTTCTGCCCTTCAAATGCATCTGATTTTGTTCCATCTGTGTCTGCAATGGCCCAGGGAGCTGATGCAGTCACTGTGCCAAGAAAGAAACATGCTATAGTGGATTAGAGTAACGGTGGCAACAGTGACACTCAGGAAGTGGCAACTGCAAGTTGCAACAGCAGTAGTTCCAGAGCAAGTGTGTTTCTAAGGTTCTAGAT